GTTTCTTGAAAATTTGATCACGATTTAAATACAGTATTTATTTTTAATATTACCGATATGTCATCGAAAAGAAAACGTGTTGTATTATCATTAAAAGACAAATTAAAGTATTTGTTTCGATTATCCGGATTTTTCCTTATCCGGACTACCTTCATCCCCAATTAGCCGGATAATCGAGGTTCTACTGTATATATATTCTAATAATACTGATCTATATATTTATATATAGATATAGATAAATTGAAAAAATCTTCATATTTTAAGCCAACCGTGGGTTCTTCCAGACTCCCAACAGGACGACCACGCAGTGAGGAACGGAGCACAGACCGTCTATGAAAAGTTTCTAAGGTTACTGGCCCGGATCTATTCCGAGTCACCCAGAAGCCAGTGACATATACTGACGTCATTTTAAGAATGTTATGCAAATAATCCAAGAGAGAATTACCTTCTAGCTCCAATAACATCAACTGAGAGGAATTCACAAATCTGTTCTACATTCAAAACTACAAAATCTTTACACTCAATAACCTCTTCGAATTTTCTAGCCATTGCCTTAAGAGCTCTTTGCCAAGTTTGGCGAAGACCCAGTTTCTTAGCCGTCACGTATATGGAAAGTAGATTATTGACATTATTTTCGGGATTTGTTAATATCTACAAAATAAATTTATTTCTTAAAATAAAATTGCAATTATGTGAAATGAAAATGGTAAATACCTTATTGCAATGTTCGGATACTTCGTGTATCTCGAGTGTTTTGGATGCTTGATAAACATCAGTCAAATTCTGACAATTGATATCAAGTTCTCCCGTGTACATGTAATTTAGTAAAATTCCGAATGCTTCGGCAGTAATGGATTTCAGTTTAATCTGTTAATAGTTCATAATCTTTTGACTTTTATCTAATAATTGAATAAAACTGAATTATTGTAAAATTAGATTTACATACATTTTTCAGAGACTGTTTCTCAGATTCCATCAGTATTTTTCTAAAATAAGGAGAATAACAAGTTAAAACAGATTTGTGAGCTGGATATGAATGTTTCTCCACTTCAATATCAATATCTGTCATTTTTTTAAATCTCCATAGACCGGCTGTATGTTGACCCAGAAGAGCAAAGTGACTACTTTTTCCAGGTAATTCTCTCGATTCCTTATTCATTTTACTATATAAATTCCTGATTATAATATAATTTATTAACTTTCTTTAAAAGTTACGTTTTTCTTACCAACGTTTTTGTAAATTTTGGAATAAAAGATGTAAGTTTTATTTATTTTAACAAATGAATTCTTTATAATAAGGAAATTATTATTACGTTTTTC